GTCCTTCTTTCTCGACCTGCTCTATCCCACGCATAATCTTATAAACCTCGATCATGTCACCCCTCAACCGTCGTTTCTCCAAGCTAAAGAGCCCCAAGCGTTTTAACCTTTCTTTAAGAAGAAATAATTCGGAATACGTTCATTGAATTGATGGCATGGTTTCCGTTACAGATACATGCTCGCGGTCCAAATGAAATAATTTTTGGACTGAACGATGGTTACTACGGAGCCTCCTATGAGCAAAAGGTAAGAATAATCGGTGAAGTCCTTGAGATGTAGTCCAACTTGGCTGTTTCGGGGGGGGGGCGTGGCACCACACTGTGTAAGTATATATAGTAGCCTGACAGCCCGGACTAGCCCAATCTTGTCAGCGTTTGGAAGCTAAACTGGGTCGGACATGGTCTGTGCTGGGATTGGAGACCACCAGGAAAGGCTAGGGTTGCTGTGCAAAGGGAGGCAATGGGGAACTGCCTCTGCTTCTCTCTTTCCTTGAAAACCTCATGATCACACGAAAACACAAAGCTGCCTTGTACTGAATCAGACCATTGGTCCATCAAGGACAATATTGTCTACTCAGACAGGGAGAGGTCTTTTGCATCACCTGCTACTTGAATCTTTCAACTGGAGATGCTGGGGACTGAAACCTGGGACCTTCTGCATGCCAAGCAGAGGCTCTGCCACTGAGCCACAGCCCCTATCTCTGTCTCTCCAGGGTCTCAGGCTGAGGTCTTTCACATCACCTCCTGCCTGGTCCTTTTAAGTGGAAATGCCAGGGATTGAACCTGGGACCTTCTGCATGCCAAGCAGAGGCTCTGCCACTGAGCCACGGCCCCTCTCCATTGACTGTCCAAGAGCTCACACAGAGGTCTGTCCTTTCACAGAATCATAGAGTTGGAATGGACCTCCAGGGTCATCTAGTCCAACCCCCTGCACTCTGCAGGAAACGCACAAATACCTCCTCCTCACACACACCCAGTGACCCTCTACTGTATGCCCAGAAAGGGGGGGGGGGCTTCCAAGATCCCTGGCCAAACTGGCCTGGAGAACAGATTCTTCCTGACCCCAGAGTTGCAATCAGCCTTTCCCTGGGCGTGTAAGAAAGGGCCACGAGAACTAAGCACTGAGGCAACCCTTCCTGCCCTCCCTCTCATGATCTGCCTAAGTTCACAGAATCCGCATTGCTGTCCGATGGCCGTCTAGTCTCTGCTTCAAAACCTCCAAAGAAAGAGCGCCCACCACCTCCCGAGGAAGCCTGTCCCACTGAGGAACCGCTTTGACTGTCAGGAAGTTCTTCCTGATGTTTAGACGGAAACTCCTTTGATTTAATTCCAACCTGTTGGTTCTGGCCTGACCTTCTTTCACATCACCTACTTCCTGGTGTTTTTATCTGGAGATGCCAGGGATTTGAACCTGGATCCTTCTGCATGCCAAGCGGACGCTCTGCTACTGAGCCACAGTCCCTCCCCATGTACATGATAAAGTATATAATACTATTTCCCCCTAGAATTAACTTGCCTGCTTCGTGGTGCCTGTTTCACTCAAGTTAATGTACAGGGGTGCTGCAGCCCAAGTTGCCCTCATACTCTAGTATGCATCTGTTTACAAGACATGTGAAAAAGGCCTTTTTATGGGCCACGGTGGCTCAGAGGTTAAGACGCTGAGCTGCAGGCCGGAAGGGTCTGTAGTTCGGCAGTTCGAGACCCGAGTGCCGCGTGACGGAGTGAGCTCCCGTCTCTGGCCCCAGCTCCTGCCGACCTAGCCGTTCGAAAGCAAGAAATTGCAAGTCGATAAATAGGTACCGCCTCGGTGGGAAGGTAACGGTCTAGTCACGCCGGCCACATGACCACGGAAACGTCTTCAGACAGCGCTGGCTCTTCGGCTTGGAAACTGAGATGAGTACTGCAACCCTAGAGTCGGATCCGACCGGCTTTCGAGCAAAGGAAAACTTTACCTTTACCTTTTTAGAACCATATTGCCCTGACCTGGATGGCCCAGGCTAGCCTGGTCTCGTCAGATCTCGGAAGCTAAGCAGCCTCGTTCCTGGCTAGTATTTGGATGGGAGACCTCCATGGAATACCAGGGTCATGATGCAGAGGCGGGCAATGGCAAACCACCTCTGAACATCTCTTGCCTCGAAAACCCTACAGGTTCGCCATAATTGAGTTGAGG